TAATAATTCAGCAATTAACTATTGTCTGATCCTTTAAAAAATAAAACTGATTAAAGTGACATTTTTTCTTTCAGTTGTCATTACTCATTTCTTGAAATTATATATAACAGTAAAATTTATTAAATGGTTCCAAGGACATGTGAGTATCAAATCATATACTCCCAATATTTTCAATAGGAGAGAAAAAAAAGTCTGAGGTAATCAAGAACACAGGTAATCATTTTTCCCAATATAAGTATCATCCAGTGTTTTACTCAATTAAATTATTTTTCCTTCAAAATAATTAACTCTAAAATAAAAGTTATTTGTTTCTTAGGTTCAAATGTAATGAACTGTTTAAATATGCAGATTCACCACAGCTTTAGATCTGCTAACTGGACAGAGTAATTTAGCAACTGTGGCTACATTGCAAAATTAAATGCAAAAATTCAGATCTAGCATGATATAGATAAATGAAAATTTTTAATCCAAAGTAATATCAGAAAAGAAGTGAGAACTGAGCTAGGTTATTCCAAGACCATTCCCTATGAAATCACACGATGCAAAACAGGAAAAAAACGAGCTTATTGTTCCTCTCCCAACAGGCTAGTGATAGAGCAGATTCCGAAGATATTTTACAAGCATTTATTCAAGTCATAAATGCATTGATACAAAATGCTAGAAATATATATGGGTATCTATGTATGTGAACATATTAAAATAAATATGGCAAGGTTTTCAAGAGAATACAACCTGACATACTTTGAGTTAATCACTTTTCAGTCTTTATGATTTTACTCTTGAATAACAGAAAAGCTTCTTAAAATCTGAAAAATGAAAATTACTGTGCAATTATTTTTTTAAACTAGAAAATAATCTGAATTATAGAACATTAACGATTGAATATGGCATAAATTAGAAAACATTTTTAAAATTGGGTAATGTAGAATGTAAAATTAAAAATGTATGTATGTGAGATGCTAAAATAATCAATAAGATAAATGAAAAAAATTCTCAGTTAATAAACTTTGTATAATTATAATGTAAATTATATCATACATAATTATATGATATATAATTATATTAAACATAAAAATGTTATGCATTAAAATATTATTTTACTAAGAGCCAAAACACTTAAATTTGGGATTCTACTCTACTAGATAATCTCTCTGATATTAGATTTCTTTTTATAAAAGTAAGGATTATATGTTAAGTGCATTGCTTATGTCATAGAAACACTTTCCATTCCCAGTGAGATATCTGTAAAATTTCTAGGAAACTGCAAAACCTTATTCAACTATATGATGGAACTGTAAAAACGATAATGAGCCTTTTTTGTCTAAATTTTAAAAACGTATTGTAGGACTCCATCATTTTTGACTCATCCCAATTCCTAAAACGTACTGGGATTAGAGATTTCTATTTCATAGTTAAAATTCTAAAAAGTTTCAATTGTTTTGCTTAGTAATTAATACAGTCAATCCTCTGATATATTCACATATTCTACATTTGCAAATGTGCTTACTTGCTAAAATTTATATTATACCAAAATCAGTACTCCTGGTATTTTTGTGGACGTTCATGCACCTGCACAAAGTAGTGAAAAGTTTTAGTTACCCCTGTGTGGGTCTGCAGCTGAGGTCCAACAAGGCGACACTCTGACTTTTTGTTTCAGCTCTCACAATATAAACAAATATTCATATTGCAATCTATTTAGCATCAAATTTTTTCTCTTTTTGTTGTTGATGTCACTGTTTAAGATAGTTCCCAAGCATAGCGTTAAAGTGCTAAGTGTAAGAAGGCTGTGATGAGCCTTACTAGAAAATGCGCATGATGGATTAGCTATGTTCAAGCATGTTTTATAGTGCTACCAGTCATTAGTTTGATGTTTATGAGTCAACAAGTTAAATAAGGTGTCATTAAACAGAAACACACATAAAACAAGGTTTGTACACCTCTATTGAAGAATACATTGTGACCCTAGAGGCTTCCAGAAACGTAATACTTTATTTCCCCTAGGAACAATGATTTGGGATTCGCTAATTCAGTGTTTCTGGTGATTTTATAGAACATAACTACCACAAATAATGAGATTCGTCTGTAGATATAATATTTCTTAACTCCCCTCGCAAATTCTAAATAATCAGGTCAGAAGGTTGTATTTTAAAGGGAAGTGTATAATATTAAAATAAAATCATGATCTTATTCATCCACCTTGGGGACTTTTAGCTCTGTATGAATTCTATCGTAAAGAATGTTGCAGCAGATAAGAGAGGTCAGGGGTTCAGGTTCTGAAGCTGGCCTCCATGGGATCAAATCTTGTCTATGTCACTACTATCTGGCTTTAGGCTTGTAGATTAGCCTCTCTGTGCATCAGTCACCTTGCCTATACTAAGCAGAAAAGGCTAGCACATATATAATCAGATTTTTGATGACTACCTGAATTAATAATTATAAAGTATGTAAAAAATACCCAATGCATAGAGAAGGCTGCATAAAAGTTCATTATTAGTATCTGTTAGTTTTGTAGATCATTTGGCAAAAGTACTGACAACATTCACAATATGCCTACTCGAAAACATAAAGTATTTAGAATTCAATTAAAATAGTAATGTTCAAATGCTGTTTGGTATGTAATGGTAACGCACACGCATATCTGTACTTAACAAAAACTCACAATAAATAGTTATCTTGAAAAGACAATGAAACTTTTTAGAGATAATGATTTCCTAAAGAACTTGAAAAAATGTAATTCAAATATATTTTTCATTCATTTTTAAGCCCAACTCCATGCCCCTTATTCTAACATTCTTCTCCATTTCAGCAAACCCAAATTCCAACCCTACAGTTCTCAGATCGAAAAAGTGGAAGTCATTCTTGACTCCTATTCCAGTCCCACACCAAATAATGAAAACTTGATCTTCAAAATATACAGATGTTGGCCGCTTGTCGCCACCTCCACTATGTCTAGCCTGGACAATGGCAATAGTTTACTATAAGTGTTTCTCCATATTTCCCTTCCCTTTGTCTATTTTCAACAGAGTAGCCAGAATGATCTTTTTAAGGGTAAATCAGATCATGTCACTTCTCCACTCAAAACCCTCCAAAGGCTCCCTTAATCACCTGGGTTAAAAGTAGATGCTAACATCTCTGCGACAAGCTTGATTATCTCCACTGTCTCTCTGACTTCATGCTCTTCCCTGACTTCATCTATTCTACCTGAGTTGCACTGGTCTCCTTGCTGTTGCTCAAGCACAAGATGATTCCAACACAGCTTTGTACTTGCCGTTCTCTGCCTGGCACATGTTGCACCCACATTTCCACCACGCTCACGGCTCAAACATCACCTTCTCCATCAGGTAATCTCTTAATGCTCTCTAATCCTTCTTCTTGTCTCCTCCAACAATTCCCTTTGGTTGACATGCTATATATTTCATTCGTTTACATATGTTTCTGTTTCTCCCCAGTGGAATGGAAGCTCCAAGAGACAGGGATTTTTGCTTCTTTTGTTCCCTGATGACTCCATTAGTAAAGAACAGAAGGTATTCAAATATTTATTGAATGAGTGAATGTGCACAGTCTCTCTTACTCATCAATAAACTTTGGAAAATGAAAAGTATATTGGACATGAAGCACTAAATGCACAATTGTATTTAAGGAAAATAAATCTCAATTTTGAGGTTAGCAAGAACATATTTTTATATTAATTATAATTTTTATGACGGTGTATTTCATCATTTTTTAAAAGTAAATTATTTCTATGGATGGATGGTGGACTGGCTATAAGACAGTGGCAATAAGGCTACTCAGACTTGCTTAATTCATTAATAAAATTGCTTGGTGGTACAATTATATTGTTTGCTTTTGTTTGTTTTTTTCATTACTCTACAATGTTAAATGTCTTTTTTATTCACTATGTAACACTTGGAATATAGTAGTCACTCAATAAATATTTGCTGAATGAATGAATAAACTATAATTTACTTGAAGGACAAAATACATTAAAAATAGTTGGTGATCAACAAATAATAGTTAAATGGATGAAGACAGTGATCAGTATATGAAGTTCACTATATAGCACTAACTAGGAGATGTATAACTTTCTATATGAGGTCAGATTATTCTATGATGTGAGAAACAGCATTACAGGACCATGAAAATATTGTATGACAATTATAGATTTAACTCTATGTTTATACATTAAATAAAATCAGTTTATATTTCTCAATTCTGTCTAGTAAAGAAAAGCAACATTATCGGACACTGAGACAATTTGTATGCTAAAGCAAGCACTTCTAAGTATAAGTATAGAATGAGTAGGATGAAGAATTCTAGAATATGTAAAAAGATGAATGGGGCCATAAGACACTTTTTATTATGCATGAGTTAATGATGGTAATATTAAATTCAGCCTGACTTGTAAAAAGTGCCATTCTGCCACTCATTTGTTTATCTATGTATTCAACAAGTATACATTGAGTGTCTATAAAGTGCTGGCACTGTTTTTTAACAAAAGAATGAATACATGTCTGAGGAGCAATATCATGGTCTAAGCTATAAATAACTCCAATATTATACTTATACTTAAAATTTTCATTTTCATATAAATAAATGTTGCAGACACTTCTTTACTAGATGTAAATGAGAAAAAATTCAATGCAAGCCATTATCTCCTTATTAGTTGGCTAAAAATTAGGAAAATTAATTTAAAAACAACAGCAATTATCAAACCATTATAGTTAGGACTGACATGTTAAGAATCAAGACATATAACATCCAAGAAAAAAGCAAGAGAAGAAGAGCCTGGCCTATAGCTATACGATTTGGTTTATAAACTATGTGGCCCACAACCCTCATCTCTAATTATCTTATAATTCCAGGAAAATAAGTGATGATATATACACACATTTTTTTCTCAACTGAAGTATTACATGTTGTGAAATATTATTAGATAATTATGTAGCCTTTTATATGCCATTAAGTCTTCAAATGGTAATAAACTAAACTGCTTTACTTACTAATACGAGGAGCAGGACAACATCAGGGTTATCACATGCACAGGCAATGTGCATTGGTGTCCAAAAATCTTCATCCTGGTGGTTGACATTGACTCCTCTGTCAATCAAGATCTCTGCAATGAAGGCATTATCATACCGAGCACACTGAAAAAAGAGGGAAAGGAAATATAATATTATAACAAACTACGACAAGGTTTATTCTAAATTTCCATGGATAGTAAACTTCAATGCCAATTTTAGAAGCTTAGAGGTGGAGCTAACCTGGGAAAGAATATATTCATGTTTCTCAACAAATCAAGAAGGAAAGGGCACATGTAAGACCTAAGGGGAAACTGAGTCCATGGACAGTGGAAAGAAAATTAAGAAAAAGGGGCAGATATTAAGGAAAAAATATTTTGCCACTTGGTTTCTCCTCATTTATAAATAGTATTATCAGAAAATCTTGGATCATTTATCAGAATTATCTTTCTAAAATACAGATTTGATCATATGGTCCTTTTGCTTTAAAACATGTATAGTTTGTCATTGCATAACATTGTATTTGATAAATATTCTATAATATACTAAATCAAAACCTCCAGAAACTTATTTTGTTCTTAATTTTTACTTACTATTTATAGTTAGAACTCATCTTAATATTATACATATAATCCAGGGCTGGCTTCATGGGTATATGGTCTATACAGCTGTGCTTAGATGCACTTGGTTTAATGCTCTGCTGTCATTATCTTGAATTTTTAATAACTTTCGTAGAATCCCACATATTCATTTTGCACTGGGCGGTGAAAGTTATTCAGCTCTTGTATAAGTCTTTTTCACATTTGTATCATATGCTATATCAATGTCAAATACATATTAGTAAAATTAGTAAAACATTAAAATAAAAAAGACCTACTAATGGGTTAAATACCTATCCATAAAATATTTAGGTTGTAAATATATGCTTTTTATAGTATTTGGATGCATAGATTTCCCTACCAAAAAAGAAGTTACAAATCAATTCTACCACCAGAAGTACTGTCTTATCAATGTATCCATCCTTTCACTAGATAGTAAAATTAAAAACAATTCATTGAAGGACTTCCACTTTTGAGTAACAGAGACTATACTTACCTTCTCACCTGAATCAACTAGTAAACACACACAGTTATGGCCTCTGAGAGCTGGGAACAAAAAAAGCACCCCTATTGTTGCTATTGCTCCAGGCCACTACCTTGAAGGACTTCCCAAGCTACAACAAGGAGGGGAGAACCCCAATTAACCAGGGCCACACAGGAGGAGACTGAACTGAATGTCCAGAAAAATCAAGTTGGCTAGAATGCACGAGAGCAGACAGTGCAGAACTTCACACAAAAGGAACTTCAAAGGTCTGCAGACACTCCCGTCAAGTGCTCAGCTGAGTCATCATCAATAAATACATTCTAGGAAACCACCCAAGGCCAAAGAAAGAACCTCCTGAAAAAAAAGAGGACTTAGAGCTTATAAACTGCCAGAAATAGTGCCTATTTCCACCAACTAGGCTAGAAGCTTCATAATTCATGGGGCGTTGGGTAATATACAATGTCTTTTGCCTCCATGGTAGAAAAATATTGGTCCTAAACAAAACATTGCTCTGTTCTCACCTAAAATAATATTAAATCCAAATTCAGAAAGGATCAAACGATATCCAACTAACTGACCTAAAACAGAGCTCAAGATTATTTACAGAAATACAAAAATATTCAGTACCCAACAATGCAAATTTTACTATGTCTAGCATCCAAGAAAAAATTTCCAGATATACAAGAAAGCAGGAAAACAAGACCCACAATGAGGAGAAAAAGTGATCAATGTAAACACAGAATGATATGCCTGTTAGAATTAGCAAATCTGAGTGTTAAAACTGCTATCATAGTTATATTTCATATGTTTGAAAAGCTAGAGAAATTATTGAATATAGTAATTAGAAATATAAAAGATATTAAAAAGTCTCATATTTAACTCCTAAAGATGAGAAATACGATGGCTGGAATGAAAAGTATACTACTGGCTGGGATTAAAACAGACAACATATTACAAAAGACAGGATTATTGAATTGGAAGACAGTAATACAATTATGCAAAATGAAACAGAGAAACGACTTTAAATAAGTGAACAGAGCATCGGTGAGCTGTGGGAAAACGTCAAACAAACTGACACTGAACAGTTTAATAGCACGGAAATGGGAAGTATGTAGATATATTCATGTTTTTATTATTATTTAATTATCTTTAAAGTTAGTAATTAGAAGACAGTCCAATTTAGAAAATTAGGGAAAAGATTTAGCTGATACTTCACCAAAAGAATAAGATATATGACTTGTGGTTCACAGTCATAAAATGTAGTCATTGAAGAATATTCTGATCTTTCTCCATTACCTGATAGTCTCAATAATGTACAATAAGTACAATGAAAAATTATGGTGCAAGTTCCATATGGAGAAAGATATGAGCAGGCATCAGTACTGGGATGCTCAAAAACAGCTGGGGCAATGTCAAACATGAAGTTTAAGGGATTAGTTTCAGTTTTGAACTAAGATCTTTGCTTATCTAACGCTCCACATTGCATGTAACTATAACAAAGGGTAACTTATATCAGCCCTGATGATGTGAACTGTGACATCATTCATAGGAGCTGCAGGTTTGAGTACAATGACTGATAAAGTTGAGAACCAGAGTATGAAAACTCAATAAATCATTTCAGAATTTGGGGTCTGGATCCAATTTCTTTTAGGAAATTCACATGGAAGTAATTTCCATTCTGCTCTCATTTTTTTGATAGCTCACTGCTATCAACAAGGATATGACCTCCTTCTTCTATGCCTGTCAAGATATCCTCAACCTGTACCTCAGGAATCCTCATTTACAATTCAAAGATACCCACGGTTTGGCTTTTCAGTGTCTTTTACCAAAAAAAAAAAAAAAGAGTTAATTAGACACAGTGCTGAAAGTGATATCAGGCCGTCTCAAGTAATGTCATTTTTAGATTCACATTTCAGAGGATTATGAATAATAATTTGACAGCAATAAATACCTTCTAATAACACTTGTCTGAAAACATTATGATGATTGAACATCCCTTTTACAATAATCTTACAATATTATTGTTAGACGGGAAACCTATTTCTCCCTAAAAAGAATTTTCTTCAAGCTAGCAAATGTTCCTCCCAATTCAGGTTGTTCATGACTTCAACCAAATTGTAGCTCAGTTTTGGTGGCACTTTATAGCACCAGGAACATGGCTTAACCACCACTTTGTCACCCTCAACAGGACTTTGACACCACCAGTTATCTGCACTTGCAGCATGGAGCCAAGTCTTCCAGATGTTCCTGTCACTGTCCTCTACCTCTCAAAGTGCCGATAAGGACTAGCTACATAATTTGTGGGACTCAGTACAGAATGAAAGTATGGGATCCCCTATTCAAAAATTAAGAATTTCAAAATGGTGACAGCAGAGCATACAACCAAGCATGGACCCTTCTATGCACAAAGCCCTATGTGACTGCATGGACCACCTGCCCAGAAAGCCAACCCTGAGATGCCAAGCCTCTTAATCAATCTACCTTCCAGGTTCCCTGAAGTCCACACATTATTCTTTCTCTCATTGACATTATCTCTTTGCTTCCACTCTGTGCCTTTGTCTCTCTGCTTCTTGCTGCACTGTTCTCTGTTCACGCCCCTCTCCACTACACATCCGCCAAGGAATTTCCCAGGAACAGCCTCGTATAGGGCATATCTCTCTCTGCTATGATTAATCTTCTCACCAGAATTTACCCTTGCAGTTTTTGTCCTTTTCTTATGGAAAGGCAAAGAAGGAGGGTGGAGCTACAGGTCGATGCTCGGATGCTCTGGCGTGGGTGGTCAGGGCAAAGTGCGGACAACTTTCACATACTATTCTTGTTAACATTTAGACCATCTTTATAAAAAGACATTTACTTAGACATTTTTCTCTAGAGTCCTAGTATTCTACCTCTTTTCAAAATACAATATATACTCAACTTTAAAGATATTAAGCTGTTAAACTTCCTCTACTACAGTAAGTTGCTTATTATATCTGCTTCTTACAGTTCCTGAGACTTTAGAGAAATGTAAAGTCCAAGATCATCCTTGTTAAGAGCATCAGATTTCTCATAAGAGTTGGAAAGCGATTAAAACATTTAGAATGTAAGTTCCTAATAAAAACAGTCCTATTTTTCTTTTAACTTCTTTTATGATATGGAACACACATGGTTATTATTTTTAAAGTTCAAGCATTATATAAAAGGAAAGAGTAAAAATGAAAGACCTTGTCTCCTTCCCCCAACCTGAGTCACTGTTAAAATTTCTTATCTAGTCTTCAAGATTTTCTCTGCTGATGAAAATGTATGTATGTATGTACGTATGTACGTATCTTCATCCCTTGCTCCCTCATCCATCTGATTGTGTACTATATATACTATTCTCTAACGTGCTTTTGATGTTTACCAATATGTCTTGGATGTATCTGCATATCTATCATAGCTCAATTATTTTTTAAAATGTTTTATTAAAGTATAATTGGCATACAAGATTAATTTTAGTTGTACTACATAGTGATTCAAGATTTATATATCTTATAGTGTGATCACCGCAGTAAGTCTAGTAACCATTCATCAGGGTGAAAAATTACTATATTATCATACTCTTTATACTGTACACTAAATCCCAATGGCTTATTTACTTTATAACTGGAAGTTTGTACCTCTTTTTCACACATCACCCACCCCTCTCTTTTAGCAAATATCAGTTTTTCCTATGTATCTATGAGTCTGTTTCTGTTTTGTTTTGTTTATTCATTTTGTTGTTTTTAGGTTCCACATGAGAGCAATCATATGGTATTTGTCTTTCTCTGACTTATTTTACTTAGCATAATAAATATACTCTTGGTCCATCCACGTCGCAAAGGATGAAATTTCATTCTTTCTTTTTTAACTGAGTAATATTCCGTTGTACATATATACCAAATCTTTTTTATCCATTCATCTATTGATGAACACCTAGGTTGCTTCCATATCTTGGCTATTGTAAATAATGCTGCAATGAACATAGGGGTGCACATATCTCTTTCAAATTAGTGTTTTCACTTTCTTCAAATAAACACCAAGAAGTGGAATTGCTGAGTCATGTGGCAGTTCCATATTAACTAGTAGTTACTAATTAAAATTCTAATTTTAAAATTATGAGAAATCTCCATACTGTTTTCTATAGTGGTTGCATCAATTTATAGTCTAACCAACAGTGCACCACAGCTTCCTTTTTTCCGTGTCTTCATCAACACTTGTTATTTGTTGGCTTTTTGATGATAACCATCCTGACAGATGTGAGTTGGTATCTCATTGTGATTTTGATATGCATTTCCTAAAGATTAGTGATGTTGAATATCTTTTCATATTTCTATTGGTTACCTGTATGTCCTCTTTGGAGAAATGTTTATTCAGGTCTTCTGCATATTTTTTAATTGAATTTTTTGATGTTGAATTGTACGAATCCCTTATATATTTTTGCTATTAACTCCTTAGTGGACATATCATTTGCAAATAACTTCTCCCATTCAGTAGGTTGTCTCCTCACTTTGCTGATGATTTCCTTCACTATGCAGAAACTGTTCCGTGTCCATTTGTTTTTTTAACCCATGTTGCTCCATATTTTTAATAGCTGCATGGAATTCCACTGCTTAAACCACTGTATTTGTGTTAAAACTAGAATTCACCAGGAAAAAAAAATTCCTATTTCTAATGTATTTCACTTAAGCTTCACTATGGTCTGCTGCTGTCAAAGGACCAAATTAAAAGAATTTGTATTTCACACTCCATTCAAGTGGGTTTTATTCCCAGTAGGAGCTCCTTCTCAATAGCTCATTTATTAAAGGCCATGACATAAAACCCTGGATGGCAGTTTAGAAAAGCTTATGTGATCCTGTTTCCAACTCCATAAATATCATACTTTTCTTAAAGAGTTAAATCTGAGTTTCCATCTATATTGTCCTGATGAGATGAAATTCCTGGAGTGCTCATATTGTTACTTGTTATTATTTCCTTTCCATCTATAATAGTACCTGACACCTGCCTTAGGTTTGATACCTGAATTATTTAATGTAGGGTACGTAAACAGACACATTCAGATGTATTTGTTGAAAATTTATTACAAAAATAAAACTAAACATTTTTTTTGCCAAAAAATATTAACCCTTTCTTAAAAACCTTATGTTTAACAAATATCAATCAGTAATAAGGTGGATATTGTTCATCCCCAACATAAAAGTTCTTGTGGCATTTGTAAGAAAAATCTCCTACAGAAATTGACACTGAGTCAGATATTCAAGGAATAATAACTGAGTTAAATAATTGAAACTCAGAAATTACAACAATTTCCACAGCTTATTCTGGATGACTCACACAAACAAATGCTGCCTTTTTCTCAAAGACGTTAATCTAAGAATATATAATTAGAGCTTCGGTGCTGATAAAGCATCAGGCTTCCTAATGTGGGATGCCTGAAAGGTAGGGCAAACCGCAGAGCAACCTACTCACACTTGTCATTTTAGATGACTAAATTACTTTTTTCAGTATCTAAGTCATTTTGAAGCCCTGTAATTTTGTCTCTCTGGCAACCTGCAATTTTTCATTTGTTTATATTTACTCAGTAACCCCAGGAAAAGGAGACTCAGCGCTGAGCCTATGTTCCTTCAGCCGACATCAGATTTTCCTATATGTATTTCAGTTCCATATTCTCCTTCATCTTAGTCTCACAACCTACGTCTAATAGTATAAAAACGCAATATATTTGCATTGGATCGAAAGTTAATAATATGTTTCCATCTACCTTATCACTTTAATCTTCTCATTTTGTTTCCAAAAGAATCTAGGTAAGTTTTATTTACATTTATATGAGCTGGACCACAAGCAGAGTATATATAAAGTTCATTGGAGCGATAAAAGACAACTTATACATGTAAAAGAGAGGATGATTGTCTCATACTCTATAATTGACACAACATTGCCTTGCTTATTTGTTGAATACTATTCATTTTCAAAAGCATCTTCTTTAAGGCAGAGATTCTAACTCCATTTGCGAAAGATTATTTACAAACTATAATGCAAGTAATTAAGAAAAATAAATTTATTATCCAGACTTCTTGATTTGAAACACATCATTTTTCTGATCATTGGTCAGACGTACATTTTGCTACTGAATTTTGAGCCCATAACTGATTCTCCTTTTCCTTAGTGTTACCCACATTTGCATTGGTCTTCACAGTTCTTACCAGATGGAGCAAGGACCCTCCTGAGGAAACGGGAGTGTGGGGGTCTGCCCCCTCTTTCAGGAGTAGAAGTGCTGAAAAAATGAAAGAGGAGAAGGGAATTACAGCACATCTTTCTTCCACACTCTGAATTGAATGTTGTAGCATTTCATTAATATCTAAAATGCAAACAGCCATGAAAGCCAAAGACGACACATTAATCACTATTTGACCTCATTTCATGTATTTACGACCGACAGAATTTCTTTTCACACTGAAACTTATTCCTTGGTTTGTCAACATGATTACCTATTACAGCCATGTAAATTATGCAAAAAGGGGAACAAATTTGTACAGTTTACTATTTCAAAGTACCTAGTTTACATATCTTATATAGAACAAAATAAATAAATAAAAAGAAATAATTGCCTAGGCTCAGGTAGGTATTAATTCCCTTAATTTTTAGTTTTTAAACACATTAGGGCCCATTGGCTTAAAACAATGAAATTTACACTTTGCACATTAAACTTCCATTCATGAAATTCCCCCCTTGGCTGTGCTTACACCAGTCTCACAAAGCATTATGGGAAAAAAACCTTTTATACCTAAATTACTAATGTCAAATAGATAAAAACATATGCCAATTTTCAGAATAAATGCACAGCTGGAAAGTGACCTATGCTTACATTTGAACAGCAAAGGTGAATTGGTAGGTACATGGAACGACACAGACATTTTGGGAGATTGGCAGTATTACATTTTCTGCCTCTTAGTGGGCTACAAGACCAGCCTTAAAGAGGCTCAACAATTACCCAAAGTGCTGTAATGGTTTCTCTTAATAGCAATATCATAATTTTAATAAAAATCCATAAATGCATTTGCCACAAAAATAAAACTGAAGCAACAGGTACTCTTTCATTTCAAACTCATGCCTGCCTAAGCATAGCCTTTCCTTTAATTTTTCTCTGTCACTTGGAATGTTACCTGAACGTACCTTCTTTTCTATAGTACCTCGAACCTTGTATGTGCCCCAATATCTAGACTGTTACCATCTTCCCCAGTTCTAACTGCATATCACAGAAGATGTCCTGGATCTTGGCAGACGTAGTCATTTCTGCAGTTTCCTCTCCGTGAAGGCCATCTCTTCAATAATGTGTTCAGTGGATGTGAAGAGGGAGGCAGATCAGCCCCCTCGAGGAAACATGAAGGTAATATGGTGACAGCAGAGACAGTCCACACGCAGACCACTGTGTCCGCCTTACTGCCTATCTTAAAACTAGAGCGCATTTTATTCAAATCTCCCTTCCCCGGGAAGTCAGACATATCTGTGTACCATCTGACCAATGGCAACACTTGACCTAGACGCTTTGATCTTGTACCTGTTCACTACAGTTCCCCAGAAAGCAGTTCCTAAAGAGAAGAATGCTCACATCTGCCCGAGTGACTTTCCTTCGGTGATAGTCTTCCTTCACTTAAGAATTTAATTCTTTTCAGAAACTAAGTTCTCCTAATGTTGGTAGTTTGTTACAAAAATTACCGAATCAGCTGTAATCTGAAATCACATGGTGCCATCCACTTGCTGACTTGCGTGTCTCCTTTCTCTGCCATTAGGAGAAAAATTCAGGAAGGAAAGGTCCTTGAAAAGTAAGCCCTTGGAAGAAATATCAGTAACTTAAGATGCGTTGATGATATTATCTTACTGGTGAAAAGTAGCAATGATTTGGAACAACTTCTCATGAAAGTGAAAGAAAGAATAAAGCAGGACTGCATCTGAACATCAAGGAGACAAAAATCATGACTATGGGAGCAACATAAAACTTTAACATAGACACAGAAGACATTAAAATTGTTAAAGGTTTTCTTTAACTTGCTTCAATCATCAATTCAAATGGAGACTGCAGTCAAGAGATCAAGAGAAGGCTGAGATGTGGAAGGGCAGCAATGGAAGAATCACCAAAAAAAGATCACCAAAAGCAGATGTGTCATTATAGACCAAGACCGAGATCACCTATACCCTCATATTCTCAATTACTATGTGCGGATGTGAAAGCTGGATAGGAAAGAAGTCTGACAGGAAAAAAAAAAGATTCATGTGTAATATAGTGTTGGAGGAGAGCTCTATGGACACTCCAGACCATCACAAAGACAAACAAGTGGGTCCTAGAGCAAATTAAAGCAAAAACATCGATGGAGGCAAAAATGACAAACTAAAGTTGTCCTACTTCAGGCACATCATGAGATGCCAGGATTCTTTGGAAAAGTCAATAATGTTGAGAAAATAGAAGGCGGCAAGAAAAGAGAAAGACCAAATACTAGATGGATTGACCCCATAAAAGAAGCCATAGGCATGAGTCTGCAAGAGCTGGGCAGGGCTGTTGAGGACAGGACAGTGTAGACATCGCTCATTTCAGAGCCAACTCAATGGCTCATAACACACACAAGATGCTTTCTGTTCTTTTCTTCACCGTATTCCTGAGAACCACCCTGTTGCAAGGTATGTAGATATTCTTTCTTGCTCCCTTTCTCCACTTCCCTCTATACATACATATAATAAATGAATGCACTTCTTGTTCCCTCACATACTTTATCTTTAATTTTAAAAAGTCCATTCAAGACAACATAGAGTGCATTAAATATGTTTACCAATGGTTTCTTCAGATAAATAGCACTTTCACGTTAACATATATATTTTTATCAAGTGAAATTATACATCTTGACATAACTAATATGAACATGGTACTTTACAGTCTTTATAGCAAAGTATTTGTACAAGTCAGATCTCACTACAAATATAGTGGGAGGCAGATTATATTGTATTCATTAAAACATTAGTTAAATGTAGTAGTATTTTTATGTACAATTCACCATGAACATGTGTAGTGAATTACAATAGTATGAACAGTGATACGCCAGTCTTGTGGTTAGACAAATTTAAGTGTGAGGCCTAGACCCACTGGGAAAGCTACCTAAACTTCTCCATACCTCAGTTTACTGTCAGTAAAATAATGGACAGTCATTGGACTCATGTCATAGGGGTACTGTATGAATTAAATGAGGCAACATATGGAACATGCTTATCCTGCCTCCTAGCACTTTAAGGGTCACTAAATGATTTCTATTAGTATAATTACTATGTCATAAAACCCCATAATAATGTATCATAAAATCCATATCTTAAGATTTATTCTGAATTTTCTCAAAACCCTCTGATTATTGAATGTTGAATTTAAGTATAGGATATAAGCATTGCAAATTTAGCAATATTCACTTGAAGGATGAGTGTGCAATTTATCAAGCAGGGAAGGGAGTGAAGAGGACAGTGTACAAGGCAATGGAAGAATAATGAGCACAGTGAAGTGAACCGTCCGTTAGCAATGGGAAATTGTGAATTGCTTGGACTGCATTGTGGAGGATATCGTACATCATGCTGCAGGATTTGGAAGTCATTTTGTGGCCAACCAGGACCACCACAGGGTTTTAAGCAAAAGAGGGGAATGATTCATCAGATAAGCACTATGGGCTGAATGTTTGTGTCCCACCAAAATTCATACGTTGAACCCAAATCCCCAATGTAATGGTATTAGGAGGACACTTAGGGAGGTGATTAGGTGGAAATAAGGGAGGTCTTGACGATAGAGCCCCCAAGATGAGATTAGTGACCTTAAAAGGAGATGAAGAGTCTAGAGTTCCCTCTCTGGGTCACAAGAGGACAGAACAAGAGGACATCATCTATAAACTGGGCAGCTGGACATCACCAGAGGACAAATCTACTGGAGCCTTGATCTTGGAATTCCCAACTCCAGAACTGTGAGAAATAAATTGTTGGTTTAGCAATTCCAGTCTACAGTATATTTGTTACAGCAGCTTGAGCTGACTAAAACAATAAGAGAAGGCACCACAAAGGCTAGAGGGAGTATCTTGCTCATACTTTCTGTTTAAATTCTGAATGGAGGTTCAGGCTCAATCCAGGGATTGGGAAGGGTGGCTGCAGTGAGGGTGAATGGCTTTGTTGCTGAGATTATGAATGAACTAATCAGCCTGAGACTTACTGAGAATCAGAGCCACACTGCAGAGGGGTCTAAGGCAGCACTGATAGCCAAGGTGAGGCCAAGCCACCAATTCCAGGAAAACCAGTTTACAAGATGCAGAACATGGATAGGTAATCTCCACAGAAGCATGGTAGGCCACAGAGGTGTGCTGGGAATGATAAACGGAGACGATCAAGATGTCTGGATGTCTGGATGTTGGATGGATGGATGGATGGATGGATGGATGGATGGATGGATGGATGGATGGATGGATGGATGGATGAATGAATAGATGAATGGATGGAGTGATGGATGGATGGATGGATGGATGGATGGATGGATGGATGGATGGATGGATGGATGGATGAATAGATGAATGGATGGAGTGATGGATAAATGGATAAATAGATATGCGTTTATGAATTTATAACACTTTTTACTGATATAAAGGCTATGTAGCCCATAATTTACAAATACACAATACTCATGAATTTCTTATAGCCAATTAATGCTCACAGAATGCTTTTGATAATTTTCACTGAACTTTGTATCCACAGACAATCTATGGTTACAACTAATAAATATGACCTTGATATACTGGTTGATATTTTCATTGACATTATGACTAAAGGCAAGTGGTCAGCTAACCATGGGCAGCAAGCCAACTCCATCCCTGCCCTGTTTTTGTACAGCCTTTGAACTAAAATCGACTTCTACATTTTTAAAGGGTGTATAAGGAAGAAACAAAACAAAACAAAATCCAAGAAGAATGTGCAACATAGACTTTTTATGGCTCTTAATGTTTAAAATATTTACTACCTGGTCCTTTACAGAAAAAAAAATGCTGACTCCTGAATAAGACTAAAGTGAAACAATGAAGTATAACAGAACATTACTTATTTATCAATGACCTGAGTGACATCTTTGCTGAATCAGATAATAGTTTTTGAATAATGTAATCATATTTCATGACATTTTGGGGCCTGTTCACACCATACTGGCTACTGACACATTTTTAAATATACCTGGCTTCATTAATATTTATTCCGTCATTTCATCAAGTCTAA